GGACACGTGAAGATCGTCATTTAAAATTTCGGACTGATCTACATTTTTGATGAGTATAAATGGTTTGCACCATATCAATTACAAAATTATTTAGAAATGGTGAATATGGTAAAAATAAATTTAGAATTTATAAGGTATATTTTTTAATACTCATAAATAATTAGTTTCATATTTTATTTTTAATAGAGTAATAATCGATGGTTCAAATATCTTTTGGAAGTCAATGATCAATGTCATAAATATTCAAAATCTGGATGTAGTATCTTTGTTCGAGAGGAAACTAATTCTTTACAAATTTTGCTGCAATATTTAAGATCTCCTGATGAAATTAATAAAAATAGTGTTTATTTGGCACTTAAAGTGACAGGGATGGAAAGTGATTATAGTAATAAAGTTTTTATGTTCTTAATACCTGGCTATATTATATATATATAATTGAAAGAAACTTATTTCAAATTAGCTTTGGAATGATTAAGTCAAGATAATAATATTGTATATAAATGAACTGATTATGCAAATGATTCAACATTTACAAATATACAACAAACATTTGCTGCACGTGATGATTTATCCAGTTTACGATATTATATTAAAATACACCACGAATCAAATATTCTGGATCTTTTTTTGTGTCATTCTTATTTGGATTGACATGCAAAGCAAATATTGAGTGACTTCGAGGATTTGTTTCTCAACATGTTTCAAATTTATTTAAGTCAGAAGAAGCTTTATTTCAAGCTGAAGTTCACCATAATAATATTAATAATCAGGCTAAATAAAAGGCTAAAGAGTTATGAGAAGATTTATATTTTAATGATCCTCATAATAAAGAAATCATTAAGGAAGAATTACCTATTATAGCTGATAGATGCTCAGGCTCGAAAGAAATAGCACAAGCATTAGGTATCAAATTAAATGAATCACAAAAAAATATACAAAAATCAAAAATGAATTGAAAATGATCAAAAAATGTTTGCATCAATCTTTAGATACTATTCATAAATTAAAAATGCATTTGAAAACGAATTTTGACTCATCATGATATATTAATTATTTAAAATTATTATTACTATTATTATTTCTTTAAAATTATTATATCATATAATCTTTTTTAGCAATGAGAAAGATAATAATAATGAATCAAATGATAATATGAACTCAGATTTTGAATATCAGACTATCGAAAAACTTACAGAAAAAGCATGATTAGGATCTATCATTCTTGTTAGCACCAATATCTTTTTAAATTTGGTTTTAAATCAACCTTGCATTACGTGCCATAATACAGATTCTGCAAATCAAATTGCTAAAATCAGAGTTAATGGATTACAAATTTGTGTTATTATTACCTGTTCTTTGTGCTTAGATGAAGTTGAATATTATAATAAAAGAGAAGATAATGACTTTTTAAAAAGTATAACAGGTGCTGATTTAATTGGAGGTGTAAATCAAGAAGAATTGTGATCAATGTTAACTGTGTTAGGAATCACACAGCAGAATGAGCATTGACAATATTTTAATAAACAATCAGAATTTTTTTACAACTTATATCAAATTATAGATAACAATATAGAGAATACATTATATAAGTAACTTCATAAAAATGATTAAGATATATTAGAAGTATCTTTTGATTGTGCTTGAAGTTATGTATATGAGACTTTTTAAGCTAGTAGAGAGTTTATTTATAATAAAAAAATTAGAAGCTAAATAAATATATAATTTTTTAATTTATTAAAAATTAATAAAATTATAACAATTATCAAAATTTTAGGCTATGAACATCACTGGTTTTTGTTTACCATGTAATTGAAAAAAATGAGAATATCATACTAAAATGAGTGAAATTATTACTATTCAAGAAAATAATTATAATGGTAACTCACAACAAATAGAACATATAATCTTGATTGCTACTATTAAAAAATTTAACCAGTATTGGAAAAGTACAATATTAAATTAAATATTGGAGTTAATGTAAATCTTTTTACAAATAAAATTTTAGCTTTATCAAATATAGTCAATTAAATATTTGCTAATTTAAAATACAAAGCTAAAATTATACAATCAAAAATAGGTAATTATTATTATTTAATTATATATTTGATATTAATTATTAAATAAAAGTTTATTTTATTTATTATTATAGTATCAGATTATAATTGAAACCATTTTGAATAATCTATTATAAGCTTTTATATGAAACCTAAAAAATATCAAAGCTTAATAACAACAATATATACTAGTTATAATAAAGTATTTAATTATTTAAAGCTAAATTATATAGAAAAGAAAATAGATTATCCAAAATCATTTTAAGCTTGTTATGCACTTTCAATTATTTATAATAATAATAGTTTTGTAGAACTTTAACATTCAGTTCGTGAAGCAGGCAATTTGATTAGTTTTTCAAATTAGAACAAGAAGAACTTGCTTGATATTCAGGAATATAAAGAACAAAAAAGAAATGTTAATATTGAAACAATTAAATTATGTAATAATAAAAGAATTGAAAAAATTATCAATAGAAAAAAACAATTAGAAGGTTTTAATTATTTACAGGTAATATAATAATTTATAATAATAGCTAAATATAATTTCTAATTTTATTTTACTTTAGTTTCATATGGTTTGCGAACTCAAGAACTTCTAAACAGCAAATTTGAATCTTTTTTTGCTCCATTGATAACTGCATTCAAGTCATTATCTTTTAAATGTGTGGTATATCAATCTTTTCAAAAAAAGTTCACTAATGGACTGTGTGCACTATGTGATTATTTATCAAAGTACAACTTATTTAATCACATACTGAATATACAAAATCAACAATTGATGTCTGAATCAAATTGGAAACTTAATATAGATAGTATCATTACTGAATTTTTTGAATTTGAAGAATATCGTGAAAAACAACGAGAAAGTATATTATCTTTTTTATCAGATCATAATACGCTAACCATATTAAAAACTGGTGGAGGCAAAAGACTGATTTATGCAACTGTAAGTATATTATCATAGATTAACTATAGTATTTACTCTCCAAGTGGTAAGCTAACAATAATTTTCAATCAATTAATATATATTTATTTAACAATTCTTTTATTTACAAAGCGAGAAATAGTAAGAATGGGAATACTAGCAACAATATTTAGAACAGCCACTCCTAGTACAAGAAAAGATCTTTGCTGAAATTACAAGTGAATTAATTCGTATATTATTTATTATATCAGAAAAATACATAAAAAATGCCAAATTTCGTATTATGTTAAAAAATATTTATAATACTCGAAGTCTTCAGTTTGTTATTGATGAAGCATATTATATGATTCTTTATAAAGGATTTCAGTAAGTTAGATCATGCAAATTTCTTAATGTTAACAATAATTTATACTTACAAACTCTAATATATAAAAGAAATGCATGGAGGGAATTAGGCATTTTAAAGCATGATTTTCCAGCTGCTCCTCTACTTGCCCTAACAGCTACATGTTCACCTATTTAGAAATCCAATTATTCATCGCTCTGAAATTATATTAGAAGTCAAATTCAAATCAGCTGCCAAAGATAAATTTTACCAAACTATATTTGATTGTTAGATAATCTTGAGGGCCGTGCTATTATTTATAGAGCTTCTATTGAGAATGTAATGAAATGACCAATGCACTTCGAAAAAATTTGATCCTATTATTATTGGAATGTATCATGGAAAACTTGCAAGTATTGAACAAACAACTATATATCTGCAAGCTGAAAAAATGGAACTATTAAAATAATGTCAGCAACCAATGCATTTGGCATGGGTATCAATGTAGATGACGTTACCTTGGTTATCCACACAATTTACTAATGTCACATGAACAATATATTTAAGAGATTGGACGAGCAGGACGAGCAGGTCAAGAATCTAAGGCAATATTATTTTACTCACGAAGTGATATCCGTACATTATTAACAATTTTGAGTGGGGGGCAAGAAAGGTAAAATTTTAATATTAATATAACTGTATGATCGATATATACTATTTTATTAATTTATCTTATAGTATTTTCAATCTCACAGAATTGCAAGACTTATCCCATTCGGTTACAGTGGATGAAAAAAACAAAAATAATGGCAATAATGCTATATGCGGATGCAATATGAATATCGTCAACAACTTATATATTATTTTTTCTTTTGGCCTAATGATCCTCAAATTCCTGAATGTCATAATTGTGACAACTGCAAAGAACGGGAAAAAAATACACCTGATATGTGCAATATTACAGAAGAAGTAATGCGACTTACTAGAATTGTGAGAGCATTACTACAACATTCGATAACTCAAAACAATAATTTGCATTATGTGACTCGTGAAGATGTGGTGGATGTGTTTTATGGGAACAAAAATAATAATATTACCAAAAAAAATCTTACTCAGATATCAGAATATCCTTCAAGTCATTTTCAAACAAGATTGCGTCCAAAGAAAATGTGTCTTTATTTACTGAATTCTTTAATTCAAAAAGGAATTATAATTCAAGTCATTAATCTTCAAAGAACTCATTCTGAATCAGCCGTACTGACTCACAGCTGTAAAATTGTAGGTGTTTGTGAGAACGCAAAAAATATTATTTTTTCAAAAGTTTGACAACAATTTTTAAAATAAATAGTAAAACTTGATATAATAAACATTTGATATAATGTAAACTAATAAAAATGTACGTAATAGAATACAAATCATAATAAATAATTCTTGATATAACAGATTTCACTAATTGTACGAATGATTATCCATATCAAGTTTCACTATGTACATAGAATCCACACCAGCAAAGATTTTTTGATCAACTCTTCAGATTGGTCACGTACTTTTTATCATCATTGTATGACGTTCGAAAAAATAGTTGTTTGTTATATTGTTATCCTATTGGATTTACTGACGTGTTCCTCACCCTACGCATCCAGAATCACCAGTTGTTATGCAACATTTGTTAACATAAAAAAATTTACCGAAAGTAAAGACTTGTCTCACCATGTACACCAACAAAGATCTTTTGATCAGTTCTTCAGATTGGTTACGTACTCTTTATTTATCATCATTGTATGACATTTGAAAAAATTGTTGTTAAGACACATTTTGTTGGTACGTGAATCTGTTGGTTATCAGTCTTTATATGTTCACGTCTTGGCACACCAGAACTGGTATACTTTTTCTGAGTTTCGTAACTAACATTTAATGTTATGGAATCTTCTTGTGCAATTTTTAGTGACCATTGTGCTGTTTGTGTACGATGCTTTCAGTTTTTACTTATATTATAATAAATATTTATCTTCTTTATTCTACAAATATTGATTGGAAGTGCACATTTCTTTGTTAAAAAAATCTACGTAACGATCCAAGTTTTGATTTGTATGTAGGGTCTTTGTATAGCTGACGATTTCATAACTTGCTTTGTATAGTAATGATCCGTAAAATTAACCAATATTATTGGTTAATTTTACGGATCATTATTATACAAAGCAAGTAAAAAGTTTTTTGGTGAATCAGATGATTAACAATGTCGATCACGGAGTCAACTATCAATTATATTATATCAACCAAAAGACCCTACCCTTAAGATCCACCAACACTAATAATAAATTAATTTTTTTAATTTAGGAAATATAAATGCTATATCGATATTGGATATATGTATCTAAGGTATATATAGATAATAGTAAGATATTCAATAATCATTAATAGTAGCATTCTTGACTTTGCAGAAGTGGTTCAATATGCATGATGGTGGTACGTAATCTTCAAGTAGTCACAGATGCTTTTACATATTCGAGATATTTTGGTTTCAATGAAATTGGGGGGTTTTTTGGTGCGTGGTCCACGAAGACTTCTTAAGCTTTTTTTAGTTTCTCCTTTACGCATTGTCACTCTGATTCTTCTTCGAAATAATCAGCCATAATATAATTAAAATATTAAATATTAATAAATTTATTAAGCAATAGATACAGATTCAATGTTCTCACTTGATTTGTTCGAGAGTGCTGATGATTAATTTTGTGGTAAACCACAAAATTTGTGATTTCTTAACTCACCATTTTTCTTCAATATATTTCTAAACTTTCCTTAAAACTCATTATCCCTTTAAAAGAGCAGTGTCTCATCATATAGCAAGATGTTCACCAAGTGGAATGAGAATACGCGACATGAACACTTCTAAATCTTGGACGGTGACTAATGTATACATAGCGGGGGGGAAAGACCACCGAATAAATTTACAGTTTGGTTGCTTCCATACTTTATTATTCAGCGAGTTGATTCTAAATGTGATTTTTTTCATGCTTGTAACTGTTATCTTGGTTATGTAAGAGAAAATGTTGATGAATATGTTGATTTTCTGGGTTCATTACTTACTATAACTTGATGGTTTTGGTTACCTCCATACTTTGTTATTCAGCGAGTTGATTCTAATTGTGCTTATAACTGTTCTCTCGGTTGTGTATGATGAATATTCATTTTTTTGGATTCTTTATTTATTATTCAGCAAGTTGATTCTAAATGTGATTTTTTCGTGGCATTTACAAATAATACTCTTACACTTTATACATGTATCCTGCGTAGCGAATCGGTAAAATGAGTTTCCAATGCTCAGGAAAAAAATCAACCCGAAGTGAAAAAAATAACGACATATGCAAAATGATTCATGAAATAGAGGGTGTTCTGAGCCAGTATCGGTAGATGTCTATTAGGAATTTTTTAGTGTAACTTGCGGCGAACCAATTAGAAATTCAATATCGCGTTACGTGATTTTTAAACGGTAAGTACATTAAATAATATAACGATAGTGATAACATTATAATTGATGTAATTATTGTAGCATATGATTAGGAATTGTACTTGTTGACTCCAAACGACGTTTTCG